TTTTTTTCATTAGTTTAAAAATTCGATAAATAAGATATATCATTACAGTAAATTTTGATCCAAAGATAATGAAAATCGGATTAGAAATGTAGATGCTATGAAGCGCAATCTGCACAAATTATATATTTTTGAAAAGGGCACATAAATACCTTTGTAACTCGTCGTTTACGTCGATTCATGACGTCGATTTTTGACAAATTACTGCGAAAAGTACCAAAAAACAAAAAAAGTTATTGTTTTCGTTTTGAACGACTCAAAATTTGCCTATAAAATAATCTTTTAAAGATTTTCACTTTTCGTATAAGCTATTGTAATTATAATATGTTTTACTATACTTTTATAAATATTCATGTATAAAAGATTAATATCGATGAAGAAAACGAGATTCGTTTTTTTAAGTTTAAAATGTATTAAGAATTTAGAATCATAAATACTCTTTTGATATTTTTATACTAAGTAATTATATGTAGGTATATTTTTGAAAAACTGTCCTTCATTTTGAATCCATATTTATGGTCACCGTACCTATGTATGACTTAAAATCTATGACCTTATTTTGTGCTATCGGTCGTTTGGTGAACGCTGAAATCAGCTTTTAAGCAATCCACTTAAGCGCAGGTAAACTATCTAATAAAACAATAGAATTGGCAGTTACTTAGTTACTTATCAACTCTCGGCCAAAGCAGTGTGCGTATAGCAAGAANCGTTTTTTTAAGTTTAAAATGTATTAAGAATTTAGAATCATAAATACTCTTTTGATATTTTTATACTAAGTAATTATATGTAGGTATATTTTTGAAAAACTGTCCTTCATTTTGAATCCATATTTATGGTCACCGTACCTATGTATGACTTAAAATCTATGACCTTATTTTGTGCTATCGGTCGTTTGGTGAACGCTGAAATTAGCTTTTAAGCAATCCACTTAAGCGCAGGTAAACTATCTAATAAAACAATAGAATTGGCAGTTACTTATCAACTCTCGGCCAAAGCAGTGTGCGTATAGCAAGAGCAGTGTTATCTCAAAAATTAGTCAAATTTGAGCTATAGCTGTTTGACAAAAAAACAATTATGAAACAATAAAATTTTGACGCGTCGAAAAAAGTTATAAAATGAGTAAACACAACATGGAAAAAGGTAAAAAAAAAAATTAGAAAAGCTATAGGACGTACTCAGCAGTACCACTGAGAAAGTCTGGGCTGTGGAAACCGAAGGCCTTCGGACATAGCTCAATCTTAAGACTGATAGCAAAAAAAAAACAGACTATATGTTGTCATGTCTGGATTTTAGCTAGAATGCTTGTATCTACACTGACGCGTCCTAGATGAACTGCGCTGTAGGGACGGAGGTCTGTTTCGAGGAGCTTGGTGTCAATCAGTACTGAAACCAAGTCCTAGCTGGTCAAAGAATACAGGATGGAGCTACGCTCGGCGTCTCAATGCCCATCTCCTTTGTGTATGAATCTGTTGCGGTGTTACTGGGTTACATCTTCAGACAAGTACAAACAGAAATCCGCTTGCATCTAAGAGAGCAAGTAAGGAGGAGTGGGTCAGAGATCCAAACTTGCTAGGTAGCATGAAAGCTTTGGCTTGACTTCAGCCAAAAAAGAACAGCAGAGCTGCTAAGTAGATCAATTGTTGAAGTTTTTAGGATTGTAGCAAACTATCACCGGTCTTTGGCCGCTGGTTTGATTAAACTGCTGAAATGTTAGAGAGGTAGGATATGGTCAAATAAAGTAACATTGCCAGAAGTGCACGCAGATGGCGATTTTATGAGAGGCCAGAATAAAAAAAATTTGCGCCCAAATTCGGTTTGTTCTGTGTTTGGCTGAGCTCTTTCCCAACAGTGATATTTAAAATTGACAAAAATATTTTGTGTGCCCATTTGCTTATCCAGTGTCTTCGCCAGAATTTTGTGAGGCGTAGGCAGGAAGCCACACTGATAAGATGCAATCATGAAGGGCTACGGTTTTTCATACATTATTGTCGATAGGACCATATCCCGCGGTAATTGGAGCAAATAATAGTTTCTCCATTCTTGCGGATTGGGCATAGTATACTGTGATACAAATCTTCGGGCATGTATTTAACAGGACAAATTAGGCTTTAAGTCTGGTACTGCAACCTATCGACTCGACTCTTCGCCGACCGTTTTGAGTAGCTTAGCCGGTAAATTGGCTGCTCAAGGTGCTTTGTTGTTTCTAAGCCGCGCTGTTATTGCTCTCCTCACCTCATATAGGTCGAGTGGATGGACGTACACGTTGCGGACCTTACCTGTATTTCTGCCATGAAAAAGACTTAAATAAACTGTTTGTTGTACTAAGGAGCCATACAAATTTGGCTTCTTACGTGACATCTCATCAGGCGAACTTAATTTTGAAGGAAAAGACTTGTCTAACAGACGAAAGATCCTGGTATATGTATGTATGCACTCCTCGTCATTTGAACAGCGCATCCTTTTACACCTCGGTCTCACATAAATATTCTATGCGTATAGCGTAAATTTTATACAAAAAAATGTCAACAAAGGGGGAATGGCTTAGTAATACTTTTAGAAAAATTTCGGATATGTAGTTTTCTAGCCCATTTAATGCATTCAAGTCAAAGTTCCAAGTGCATGTAAAATATCGTTGATTTTTTTTTGTTGACGGTGCTGCGTATTCTCTTGAAAATTTATGACACTGTCAAAAAAAAATGAAAAATCAACGCTTTTTTACAGCCACGTGAAACTTGCACTTTGTTGTATTTAAATTGAATGGCACACAAAAATGCATAACCAAAATTATTTTTTTAAATATTATTAAATTATCAGGTCATTAGGATAACGCACGCTCTGTTAAAATATTTTTTTTTTTCATTTGTATACAATTTTAAAATCGGACTTACATGTAGGTAAAATATGCTATATGTTTATAAAAAATGAATAAATATTAAACAGACAGAAGGAAAGCTAAAAATACTAAGGATTAAAAGGGAGCGCTATTCAAATGACGGGGAGTGTAAGTTTTGACTTTTTGTTTAAAATCACGTTTTCTATGATAAGATAACAGTAGATTTAGCATTGCTTTTTTATATCTCTTGAGTGTCATAATCAACGCAATCGTAATATAACTACTTTGGTTTGCATAGACATCCAAAAATTCTTACTTTAACGTCACCAAAAAACTGCGATTAAAATAAATAGCTTGATTGATAGAATCGACATAAAGAACATGAAGTCAAATCAAAGCATATCACGAAAAGTGCAAAAGTACTTTACAGTGGTCACCGACGGCCATTTTTGTAGTTTTTGAGACTCAATCTTTCACTTTTGATTAAAGATATGTGGCTGAGTAGTAAGAGGTGCGTTTCACTCCATTACGTCAGTATATTTTTTCCTTACCTCAAAAAACATGGCGGATATACATGTGACAGGTAGGTTTTTGCGGTTAGGAAAAAATTCTGACGTGATAAAGCAAAACTATCTTCAGTTATATGCAAAGCGCATCAAAATACATAAGGAAAACACAGTCTGAATTCTGAACCCTGACCCTTTTTATGTGGCTACAGGACAGCTATAAACAGCCACACACACACGCACACACATACAAAAAGTCACTACTAAGTTAGCATTTCAGGGCAATATTTTTTATACCTATGTATATATAGGGAAAACCTGAAAGTTAAGGGGGGTTATTCGATTAATCGTGCCATCCCTAGTGAGGGGCTGAGTAAACGATGTAACATTTTGTATTTATGATTTCTACTTTTTCCACTTTGGGCATAACAGGTTTACTTTATCTATTGTCGCCATTACTTTTTTCCACATGCCTCCATATACTTAGTCGAAACACTGTGCGGCGTACATTTATTGTACCTTCCATTTTTGTAATAATCCTGCTAGAAATGGGGCTATTTTGTAGATAACTTTGAAGTATCCAATAGTCGGCTGGAAGCAACTTTTTATTTGAAGGACAATGGTTGTAAAAAGTGAAAATTGGTTTCCTCTGAATTAGGTGTCGAGTAATTCGTAACTAACTACTTTTAGACATATAATATCCTTTAGCTTCCCCAATGAATCCTGAAAGGGTCTTGGTGGGCGAATTCTTTATATCAAAGGGGTCGACCACACCACATTAGCATATAATATCGATTCCTGAGTGGAAGATCGACCAATCTCGGCAGCCAATTCGAAAACGCCTTATCTCAGAAAACTTTTCAAGAACGCCCTACTTTAGAATTTGATTGAAGAACGCCCTATATCACAATTTTATTGAAAAACACCCTATCTCAGTACTCGGTTCAAAAATGCCCTATCTCATCTGAAAATACATTGAAAGTGTGCTGAGATAGGGCATTTTCGAACTGGCTGCCGAGAGTGGTCAATCTTCCACTCAGGTGTCGATATTATATGTTACTGTTAGGCTTTATCAAGACCAAGATTGATCCATTATAAAGTTTCAGTGGTCGAACCCTTTTATATAAAGAATTCGCCCACCAAGACCCTTTCGCATAAAAATAAGATCGCCGTTCGGAGTCGGCGTAAAACTGTAGGTCCCTCCCCTTTGTGTGGCAAGGCGCACGCCATAAATCGGAGGAGAAGTTAGGCCAAACACTAACATATGTGTAAGCGCCAATCTATTATTATTATTATTTAACCAAATTAAGATTCTTTCTGTGTCATCTAAAATGTAGTATTTGCATTTTGCGGATTTTAATGTCTAAAGTTGTTTTTATTTACCTTTTAGGTCCACGCATTGGCATCCGTCACATTCAGACACTGTTGCTTTTTCTTAACATAGTTGTTGTGTACATGAGTCGCCTGAATATATCTGTCGCTGTAGTGGCGATGACAAATGCCGAAAGTACAAATCCCAATTTTCCGGTAACAATATCCAAATTCTAATTCAGAGTCATCTCATTTACAAATATTAATTTTTTTTTTAGGAATTTGATTGGACCACAAAACAAAAGTCCTACATCATATCCAGTTTCTACTGGGGTTATGTAATTACACAATTTCCTAGTGGCTATTTATGTCGACGTTTTGGCACAACTCCTGTGATGCTCATCTGCACTTTCGTATCGGCGGTGTTCAGTTTACTTACACCATTTCTGGTGCAGTGGGGAGACTGGCAGGTATACTGCGCCATTCGTATAATACAGGGTCTCTTTCAGGGTACACTTTTCCCAGCTGTTCATGAGCACATCGCCAAATGGTCGCCGCCATCGGAACGTAACACGATGGGTGCGCTTACATACTCAGGCATGGATTGTGGCACTGTGTTGGCTATGCTTGTAAGTGGTTTGATAGCCAGTAGTCCTCTAGGCTGGCCCGGTATTTCATATATCTCAGGTGGTATTTCTTTTGTTTGGTGCGCGCTGTGGTTTACACTGGCTGCTAATAATCCACCATCGTCTCGTTTTATAACCGATGAAGAGTGTGAGTACATTGAGAAGTCAATGAAGCGTGATGAAGATTTCCATAAGAAGAGAATACCGGTACCATGGTTGGCTATTTTCACATCGGTGCCATTCCTCGCACTAATCGTTGTACGTTGTGCCGAAATATGGGGCTTCAGCACCATGCAAACGCAGATTCCTTCGTATTTAAATGGTGTCTTCGGCATGAATATCGTCAGTAATGCTCTCTTCTCGACCATACCCTACATTGCTCGTTGGATTATGTCTTATGTGTATCTGATATTCGGAAATATGGCTGTGAATAGGGGTTGGTTGTCACTGACGGCAATGCGTAAAATAGCCAATACAATGGCTTTGTGGCTGCCTGCTCTCCTCATGGTCGGCATTGGATATCTGGGCGATACAAATGAAGCACTCGCTATTGCATTAATGACCTTGAATGTAAGCTTACATGCTGGCGCAACCATGGGCTGTGTACTCAGTGCAATCGACTTGTCACCGAATCATGCTGGTGTTGTAATGGGAATAGTAAATCCAATGGCGAATGTGATACCTTTAATATCTCCGCTGGTTGCAGGCGTTATAGTCACAGATGAGGTGAGTAGATCAATATTAGGTTGTATTATTTTTGAGGTATCAACATTTTATACTTCAAAAATTCTAAATAGAGTTTTTTTTTCAGCACAATCGCTATCAGTGGCAAACTATATTCATAATCTCAGCAGCTATATTCTTTTTTGGCAATTTGATATTCCTAATATTCGGCACGGCTAAGGTGCAACCATGGGATGCACCCGATTACCTATTAAAAGATAACGTAGAGCAAGCAAATGAAAAGGCAACGAAGGGCAGCGCAGAGGCCTCAAATGATAATTCAAGGGATAAAGTGGGCAAATCGACGTCTGATTTAAACTAAATGTTACTGCTGATTCAAGGTCTGAATGTAATGAACAGAAATCGCATTGGCGCGCTGTAATATCCGGTTTCACAAAATAATTTTAAGCGAAAAATGATTTCTTTTATTATTTAATATGAAAACTGACAGAAGGGAAAAACTAATTATTCACCTAAATAGCAGGTGAAAGCGGCAGTAATAGTAAAAATCGATATTTCTGAAGTAAATTTTAAAATCTACAAATTTAATTAAATTACAAAAAGTGTTTTTGATTTTTGAACAGTAAAATCCAAAAATTAAAAGAAAATTAAATGAAATAAAATATATTTATTTTTTTAAACAATAAAATAAAAGAAAAACGAATTAAACTAGAAAAGCAGAAATAAATAAAGCAAAATCATAAAAATTACATACAATTAAAAAAAGTATATATTTTTTCTTCTTTAGCAATAAAGTATACAAATGAGAAGAAGATTAAGCTAAAAATAGAAAAAAAATATAATCAAAAGAAGAACAAGATTCGTTCCTAAAAAATAAATTGAATTTAAGAATGAATTAAAGAAATATATTTTTAATAAAAAAAAATATAAATAAAAAAAAATATAAAGAAAAATGTAAATTTGAAGAGTTACAAAAAAAAAAGAAAACTAGTTCCGCTGCTCGAGGACTCGAGCTCGTATCCTTCGAATGGCATGCCTGCAGTATATTATAATTATAATTATAATTATATTTATCATTATTATAATATATTAATATATATAATATTATATATATTAAAATATTTTTTTAAATATTAGTTTTATTAGGTTTTGAAATTTACACTGTTTTTAGATTTTGTGAACGCATTTTATTAAAAAAAAAATTTGTTTATGTAGCAACAATGGTTGGAACACATTTTAAAATGTTAGTGTAAGGTGAACTAAAGTTTTCGTCTACGTCAACCTTTGCTTCGTGAAAGAAATCGGAATGCTCTATTATCAGTGTTGCCGTTTTAGCCCTTTGGGGGCTAAATTTGGCTACCAAAGCCTTTTTTTGGCCACAAAAATTTGAAATTGCCTCTAGCCCTTTTTTTAGCCCTTTTCAAAATTTATTGATCATTGAAATTAACTTTTTTTTATGATTTTCATGAATTTAACTCTTCGCTCACAAAGCGAACACCTTTCCTTTAAGGCAAGTAAACATATGTCTATGTATGTTCCTTACGTTTCTGGGCCGTTATCTTATCCATTAACGATTTAACTATACTTCAAAATAGGTAAGTTGGCGGCCCTTAATATGCTTTATGTGTTACACAAAAAGTTTTTTTGTTGAATAAAATATTAATTCTTTTCAGAGTTTATTGTTTTTCTATACCAGTAATTATAGAAAATGTTTGCGTGTATACTTATATATTTATACTAGCAGTACCCCGGTGTGCTTCTCTACACCAAATATTGAAAAACGAATGAAAAGTCCTGGAATTTTTCTATATGAAAATTTATCATTTGTTTTATTTAAAAATTTTTGATTCTTTATTTTAAATCTTAATCCAACACATTTGGATATACAACATTTTTTGTTTTTCCATCTTGGGTATGAATAAATAAACAATTTGGAATGCTAACTCTTGAACAGGCCACGTATAGCTACCAATTCCAGTAATCTACCACAAATATTTCTAGGGATATACCAGATGAAAATCTTTGTTAGTATGGGTGGTGCCACGCCCCCTTTTCNTACCAATTTCCAGTAATCTACCACAAATATTTCAAGAGATATACCAGATGAAAATGTTTGTTAGTATGGGTGGTGCCACGCCCCCTTTTCCGATTTCGGGGAAACTTAACACAAACCATCTGCATAATAGCCCGACTATGCCGTATAAATTTGGTTAAAATCTTGCACTTATTCTTTATATATAAGATGGGAGGTGCCACGCCCTCTTTCCCAATACCGCCCATTTTTTATCGATGGGTATGGAATTATTTGTTATACCTCTATACCATAGATGGGCACACCAATACAGTCTCATTTTGTCATGGTATTCGTGAATCGCGCTGAGTAACAGTTGCCACTTTTCTATATTGTCCAAAAGTGTGTCGTTTTTTGCGCGTGTTAGAAAACGCTCTTACAAATTTATATTCAATTTGTATTATGAACATGAAACGAAAATAATAAAATATAATAAAAAAATAATGAAGAAATAATTTCAAATAATGAATTATGAAATTAATTTTTATAAGTACATATGTACGTGCATGAAAAGTTTTTTAATTTAATTTCATTAAACTAATGTTTTAAAAAATGATAGTTTATTCAACAACCAAATTCACGAATTTAAAATTTCTAAACTTTGTAAAAAACTCAGTATTCAATAAAGTATACTAAATATATTAAATTGCCGTATCGTACATACATATATACATAAAACCCATTACAAAAAACTTTAAATTGGTTTACACAGTTCGGCAGTTTGACTTTTTTACCATGACAAATAATGTCGCCTTATATTAAAAGTACGATTCCAAGTAGTCGTATTAAAACATAACAAGCATTGGGCATTATTGGCTTTTCTTAAAACCGAAAACTGTAGTTGGCACTCATACACAGCCATTTTGGGCATTGTTACATATATAGGTGGCAACAACGCGCTGAAATTACGAATACAAATATTCAACGGCGAAGCGTGATATCACTCTCATGAAAACTGAAAGCAGACTGAATTGAAATTCGCTGCGTCGTTTCTGTATACGTATAAGCGCTGCGACGCAGACGCTACTCGCGAGTAGCGTTTTGCCCATCATTGCTCTATACCAACTTTCTGTACTCTACCACAAATATTTCAAGAGATATACAACAAAAAAATGTTAGTTAGTATGGAAGGTGCCACACCCCCTTTTACGAATTCGGGCAAACTTCACATAAACCATCTGCATGATAGCCTGAATATGTCGTATAAATTTGGTTGAATTCGGTGAAGCCGTTCTCAAGTTATAAGCTCACACCAAAAACGTGCACTTATTTTTATATATAAGAGATGTAGGTAAAAAAATTTAGCTACCATTTTTAGCCACAACGACGATTTTTAGCTCTTTTTTAGCCCTTTTTTAGCTGGAATTTAGCTACCACTAAAAAAGTTTCGCGGCAACACTGCCTATAATATCGAAAATCGTGTGTGATTGTATTTAATCTATTCTCTTTAATCGATTGTTTCTTTTTCTGGAGAATGCGGAAGATTTCATTCAAGTTTGCTGAAAGGTTTTTATCAGATATGTTTAACTTTTTCTTGTTCCTCTTCATTGCGGAAAAGATTCAATTCAACGTATTCTTTTGTCCGATAAGAGCTTACGTTGCGATGTAAATTGATATACGTTTGTACATATGTACGTATTATTTATATATGAACGTTTGGACATGGCATATATACGGTGACCAGCCGCACTTTATAAATATATTCTCATGATGCTGTCATTAGCCTTTATTTATTTTCCTAAAAATATATTATTTCAATACGTGCCATTTGTAAGCACTTTTTTTAAACGATGCTACACATTAAGGCATTTAATATATTGCAGCATAGTTCAGAAAAATTTTGAAGTATAGAAAAAAATTGGAAAATTCATTTTTATCATTTACCTTGTCGAGGCGAGTGCATTCTCATTAATATAATAAAAAAAAATAGAAAGTGAAGATTGAGTCTTTTAAGAGATGCTTTCGATTACTTGCTCATATTTAGGACAAGTTAGGGTAGTGGATAACAAAAACTAAATCGCTTAAGCGGTTATAGCGCCAATAAAGAATAAGAAGAAGGCTTATTTTATTGCAGCTATGAATATGCCGACAATCGAGCACAAAGGTTTGAACTCTGAATAACTACATTTTAAATAAAAATCTTCTTAAAAATTATTATTTTTTTCGTAGTAAGTACCACTATGTAAGTAAATTCAGTCACGACAACATCTTACATTGCTCCTTCGAGTCTCGGAGCTCCATATTAATTTTTTAGATTAAAATAAAATACGGCTACTCCTCTGGTTGTTATATGTAGATCCATAGTCACTGACTAAGTATGAAAATTCTAGTTAAGTTCTTATGTACCACGTTTATTATTGTTTTGCTGCGGCGATAAGCTGAAAACGATCTCACTTTAGTCGTGCGCAAGCGTTCAAAGCAATAAAGTATTTTATTAGCTGTTATTTGGTGTAAGATTAACTAGCTATTCATATCAGACGTGGCCAGGATATGTCTGTCGATTCAGGTACAAAGTGTTTAAAATAGTTCACCGCATGCCACCGGTGGAAGCAGTTCGCCTTTTTTAATCGGCAATTAAAAAACAAAGTGCTGAGATTTGGTAAAAGTGATTCAAATTTGACAATGATTTTTTAAATAGTAAATAATTTCCCCAACAAACAACCGACAAGTAAATAGTGTTTTAGCTGATGATTGGAACGTGTCGAGAAGCAAATACTAAATAAGCAAAAGCGTGAAAAATGACTACCTCGATTGAAAAAGGTAATGAAAATAGCTTATGGTGACTTCGTTTCTTTCAAAAAATGCCGCCTGCCCACAATGAAAAATGTGTTTGATGTGTCCAGATTGTTAAAAAAAAGCGCAATTTCTGAAATAGAAATGCCAAAAATCCCCCAATTTTAAAAAAAATTAAATTCATGGAAATGACAACAAACTTTTTATTTAAAAAATGAGATCTTGTTATAACATAGTTTTTAAAACCAAAAATCAATATAGATAATACCTTCAGGGTAATAATAAATACCACAAATCACTTATATAATTGTGATGTACAAACAAAGTACTCTAAAAATACGCATTTATACTTTTAAAAATATTTGTATTAACAGATTTTCCAATGAGACTGCGCAATTAATAAATTTATTATAACTTATATTAATTGATTAATCGCTCAATCCGGTTTTAAGCGCTCGGCGCTAAAAAATTAAATAAAAGTTGCTATATTTAGTAAGGCGAGATCAGCTATTTTCACAAATGAAATTGCAAATTTCACATTCAACGGCAGTTGTCACAAATGGCGGATTAATATTGGCAGATACGCGATATGCTACAATTAAATTGATAGCAATAAAAAGTGTTGCCACAACAAAATTAAATGTCTAACTCCACAATCTACTTTTCACCTGTTTTGACGCAAGGCGATTTCCTAATCTTTACGCACAAATATCAAAAAATCGTCCAATCTGGACGCTGGAGGGCATGTTTTTACCTTCTCGCCTGTGTCTAGCTCACGCATATCACAATATTGGGTAGGTTGAGAAGGCGCAGCAGTGGAACGCATCCGTTGGTAAAAAAAACTAGTGATCGTTATGCGTCTTCTGAACGGCTTGATACATTAGCTGTCAAATTAAAATGCCAAATGTAAACAGAACATGTTGTCTGAAATGATCAGCAAAATATTACGAAGGTTCAATAACAACAGTTACTGAGCTATTACGCTTTCTGAACGTGCATTACTTTAAGACTTTAAGTCCCGTCTTGGCCTCGATTGTAGGGCTGCCACACGTCCCGGTTTTAAACTGTTCGTCCCGTTTTTCCCTCAAACTTCCTTGTCTTTTATTGAATTTTATTTTAAAATTTGCTTTTACTTTGTAAATATAAAATATAACATCGAATGATTAGAGCTTTTTGCTTGAGTTGATGATCGTGCCAATCTCTAATTAGCAGGGTTTTATGAATTTTTTAGAGTTATAATTTTTCTTAAATTTTTAAATAGGTCTGAATATCAAATTTAATTTGGTATTCCTTCCAATCGAATCATATTTGGCAAATACATACATCCATAGCAAAAAATTGACGAAACGTAACTTACTGTGTCAAATGGCAAGTAAAAAAAAATTAAGAGCATATCGAGCGCTTATATTCAATACCCTCTATCTGCACTTTTCACTAAATGACATTCTGATATAAAAATCCACCTAAGACTTAAATGTCATGCTGATGTTTACGCTGACCTTGTATAACGCTTGACAGACTAATTTACTATTAAACTGCAAAGTAAGAATTAACATCAGTGATAAAAGGTAAGTCCCAGATGGTTTCTAATATTTGTAAACAATTTTCCTGGTTTTGCCTCACACAAATCTGGCAGCCCTACTCGGTTGCCTATAGTTTAGAAAAAATTCGGATTAAAACAAAAGGATTTGACTGTCACATCACGAAGTGGGTCTCAACAAGTTCGCAGAGAAGATACTGATCATTTGCGGTGTCAAGTAATGACGAATTTTCTATCTTCACAGATGAATTCAAAATATACCCAGGAACGGGAACTGACTTATTAACTTTGAAATCACTTATTAAATTATGATTTACCTTATTCAGTTAAAACTTGCCTTTGCTATAGACAGTCAGGTTGCCATCAATGCCCTTAAGTCAAGAACGACTAACTCTATACTTACATGCCCGACTGGGAATTTCGACAACCTATTAAAGAAAGCAACATCAAACTAAGATCAAAGACACTTGGAGACACAAGTGCAGGCACAGAAATTTCTCTCACATTCCTGCCCTCATAACTTTGGAGAGAGCTCCGCACTAACAATCGGGGGACTAAACTCTGGACAAAAGAAGATACCTCTTACGAGAATACTTGCAGGACACTGACCTATTAACCACATTTCTAACAGGTTTTGAGCCTCGTTTATAGATGAAGAGTGACTCGCATTACGAAGGAAGCGCGATCACATTTCTGAAGCATCATTTATTCGAGAATCAGAACAGTTAAGGTATCGTCTCTTTCTGTACTCGTCTAAAGAGCAGTATAATTATAGGACATACATAGGGCGATAAACCTTCTCCTCTTGATCTCTATAATAAGAGTGAACCATCGTAAATTAACGTTCCCCCGAAAACGAAAAATTTAGGTTTACTACGATTGAGCTTTAGTAGGAGTATTGCAAACACGAGTACGTCGAATCACTATTTTGCATGCGAGAAGTAATGCCGCATGGTTTAGTACTTCAGTACGAATACTTTACCGAAACTTTGGCTGCAAGTGGGTTCGGATTTCAGCTGTCAGCTGGGTACAAAAGTGAGCGCACTCAACCTACTTGGAGTTCATTGCTCAATCTCAAAAAGTCTAGTGATAAACTGTTTGGATTAAGCTCATTATGGTCAATAAAATAATTACACTGATTACACTAATTTACAGTAAAATAAAGACAAGAGCGGAAATTATCTTTTTAGGGTGCATTTATGTACATACATATATACATAGGTAGCTGATTTCGGATTTACATTTTGTTGTCTCAGATTGGCCATAATAAGCTTATTACAGAAGTTCTTGAAATTGAACAACAACCTTTAATTAATGCGAGTTTATTTATAAGTAAAGCGGTTTAAAAAGTGTTCTTGTGGAGCTGTGTATAAGTAAATAGTCAAGATAACTATAATTATTTCGTTTATCTGTCGTGGTTAAAAATCTTATCGCAGATTTCGGCTGCACGTATGAATGGAATAGTAAAACAGCGTCGTTGATAATGAATGCTTACAGCCCCAGATTATTTCTGTGTAAAATCCTTGGACTTTGATAAATCATTGACGTTTTATATAAAATAATTTTAATTTTTTTTATATTTAACAATTTACGCAAAAAAAGCGTTGTGTTTTTATTGTAATCTCCTTTTAGCTCGATACATTTAGTTCGGCGTTAACGCAATATATCTATATTTCATCGTGGAAGTATTAAACACCTCTTAGACTCAACACTGCGATTTTAAAAATAAGGGATGCGTTAAAATATTTAAGAAAAAAATTATACTACGCAAATATATAATTTGTCTTTTAATTTTTTCTGTTTTTTATTAATATTATACAAATATATTTGATTTTACTTTTTAGGTCCTTGCTTTGGCATGCGGCATCTCCAAACGTTGCTGTTATTCTTCAATATTATGGTCGTGTATTTCAGCCGCTTGAATGTCGCTGTGTCTGTTGTGGCCATGACAAATGCTAATACAACGAATCCAAATTTTCCGGTAATCTAAAACTAAGACATATCGCTGTGTTTATGTGCTATATGAAGAAATTGAAATATTCAATGAGCGATAGATATGTACAAGTATTTATCTTTGGGAAATGGATGATTAGTTTTAATGTTTTAGGGAAGGTCGAGTCTTATATCTGGATGTCAAATATTAAAGTTTTATTAGTATCCAACTTTCACTGCAAGTTGCAATTTATTGTTAACTAGTGCCTTGCAGACATGTAGAGTTGTATTTAATTATTTCGGAGTTTCGAAGATGAGAACAGCTGGACCGTTCTGTGTGTCGAGACGGTCATATGTTGAGATTGCTGAGATCACGGTTGTTGCAGATCATTATCAGCAACTCAAAAGATGTTCGTGTTAGGTCTCTGCGTCAGGTTCTGAAGTTGTAGCCTAACCGAAATATATATGTAGTATACCAACGACCATTGGCTGCCAAAAATGGTGTTCTAGTAAAGAATAAGCCTTTGCCGTACCCTGCGTGGAGAGCAGAAGTCCAAGACGAGTTGGAGATCGAAGAATATTTAAGGGTTAAAAAGGCACTTCTCATTTTACTAAACACTTTTTTTTGTAGATAGGCTCATGTGGCCTCTTAGAAAAATTTCCTAACTTTATCCAGCATTTCTGTGATATCAACTGATATTTTTTTTAAATTTCTTGCAGGAGTACAACTGGAATGAGAAGCATAAATCATACATAATCTCAAGTTTCTATTGGGGCTATGTATTCACACAGCTTCCAGGTGGATATGTAAGTCGTCTCTTCGGCTCCAAGGTCGTCATGTTAACAACGACTCTTTGCTCTGCCATATGTAGCCTTCTAACCCCGTACCTCATATCTTGGGGTGGTTGGCAAGCCTATTGCGGAATACGTATAATAATGGGTCTATCGCAAGGAGCCATGTTTCCGGCTATACATCAACATCTCGGCATGTGGTCACCAAAGAGCGAACGCACTCTTTTAGGTACGCTCAGTCATTCAGGCGCCGAAATTGGCATTATTATGGCCATGGGTGTAAGTGGTCTCATCGCTGCCAGCTCGCTGGGTTGGCCCGGCATATCGTACATATCGGGAGGCGCCTGCATTGCTTGGTGTTTGATTTGGCAAATTTTTGCCTATAATAATGCACCTTCTGCACGCTTTATAACGCCTGAGGAATGTCAATATATTGAAGCGGATCTAAAGCGTGAAGATAAGTTCCATGATAAGGAGATTCCCGTGCCATGGTTGGCAATCTTCACCTCTGTGCCTTTCCTCAGCTTGATTTTAGTACGTTGTGCGCAAGCTTGGGGTCTTAATACACTGCAAGCCCATATTCCATCCTATTTCGCTGGTGTCTTGAATATGAATATAAAGAGTAATGCACTCTTCTCGGCACTACCCTATATGGCAATGTGTATTTTGACATACGTTAATCTCTTCACCGCGGATTTTATACTTTCCAAGCAATTGGTAACGCTGACAGTTTTGCGTAAAGTGGTGAATACAATTGCATTGTGGGTACCAGCCGCCATGCTGATTGGCATCGGTTTCCTGGACGAAGAGCAAAAGACACTGGCAATTGTGTTGATAACTTTGAGTGTGGGCATCAATGGCGGTGCGACGGTAGGTAGTACGCTGAACACAATCGATTTATCATCGAATCATGCGGGCGTTTTGATGGGCATTACCAATACGATTGCCAACTTTGTGCCGCTCGTAACACCACTACTAGTCGGAATCATTGTAACGGATGAGGTGAGTGCATACATACATATGTATGTATGTAGCTGTGTTAGACCGATGTTTTATATCTAAACACACTCCTTATTTCAGAAAAATCGTTCGCTTTGGCAAATCGTCTTCATTATTGCTGCGGCCATTTTCTTTGTTGGCAACTTGATTTTTGTTTTGGGTGGATCTGCCGAAACGCAACCATGGGATGTGCCAGATTTTTTAACGCGGCATAATGTTGAAGATGCGAATATAAACCATGATAATCAGAAGCTTACTTTAAATGGAACAGAGTTTACGGAAAAACCACAAGTGTTGGCGATAACCGAAGATAACGAAAATGAAGCAGCTGATGAAAACGGAAGTCACGATCACCGACTATCGTCGAAAGGCATATCGAACAAAGCATTTGAGCTGGAAGTATCAGCGGATTTGAATGGAGAAGAAGCTACATCTGAGTCAGAGCACGTAAATGGCGAAGGCAATATTACGAAGCTGCAGAGGCACAAATAAAGTAATGTTAGTTAGTAGCCTCGCAAAAAAATCTCTTGATTTCTTTGCGTTGCTGATTTCAAATTAATAATCCAATTTCAAGAGTGGGCCGAATAATTTTAGGGCGATTGAATGCAAATATCAAGTCAGAACGAAATTTTTGACCAATTTTTACATATCGATACCTGAATGGAAGATCGACCTCTTTCGGCAGCCAGTTTGAAAACGCCCTATCTGAGAAAACTTTTCAAGAACGCTTAGAAGTCATTTGCTCGAACACTAAAATTATTTTTTAGTTGTTGAAAGTGGGTTACCGGCTGTTTAAAAAATATAATTAAAATTAATTAATAAGTTAAATCAATTATATAAATATGGGTATCAATTGAAGTCGTTTAAAAAGTCTTTATATCTGGACTATATTTAGCGGGGTTGCCACATGAAATTCAACTTAATTCATCAGTAAATTAAAATATTTATCGCAATGTTAGTAGAAGGAGACTTAACAAAGTTTTAGCTTGAAAATACGTTTGAAGAAAGATGCCTCCTGCTTAAAAGGTCCAACTTAACTAACTAATACAAAAGTTATATGAATTATAAAAACCCGCGAGATAAATGAAGAAGTGTTAAAAAAATCTTTAGTTTCAACATTTGGAATGTGCGAAGAGTTCTACCACGTGCTTAAAAAGTTAAATTCAAATTATTCAGTAAGTATGAATTATTAAAAAAATTAGTTTAAAACATTAAATTAAATTATAGTTGAAATACATGCATATGTACATATGTACCTATATATCACAATATGGTTATCAGACGAGAGAGAAGAGTTTAAAAAGGTTTTTGTTTGAAAATATTTTGAAGAGGGTAGCCACCTGTTTGAAAAGTCGAGCTTAGTAAACTATTGCATGGGAAAGAAATTTATAGTGTGAACATTTAGAATGTTTCTCAGGGGTTTCAAGAGGGTTGCCATCTGTGTAAAAAATGCATTTAAATTATTTAATAAGATAAATGAATTACTAAAAGATTGTTATGAATCGAAATTTGTTAGAACATTATTTATATCTGACCTTTATTTAGGAGATTTTCCAGGTGAGTGACCAATCAAATCCTACTTAGTTCATCAGACTTTGGTTTAAAAATACTATTGCAAGAATTTTCACGTTTGAAAAGTCGAATTTAGTTAGCTTATTCAGAAGTTTTGAGAGAAGTGTTGAGAGAAACATATTCAGTTGTTGTACTAACCTCTTTTCTCTCTGTATTTAAAACTTTTTATCATTTGAAATAAAAGCTGAAAAAATAACGTTATATTATATCATATCGTAACCATTATAAAGAAAGGCCCTAACTAACATTGTTGTTTCTTTTGCGGAGTGATTAAGAATTTTAATAGAAAATCTGGTTTCAAATGCATTTGAAATGCTGTACCGACTTTCGTATAAAACTGGATTTTGTACAAAAATTAGTTAGGGCAATTCTATATTACGGTACCTACACTTATATATGTATGTATATGAATGTGCATTTGAGTCTTATTTGGCGGTAAAAACTAATGTATGTATATGAATGTGCATTTGAGTCTTATTTGGCGGTAAAAACTACTTAGTAGTCATAAGTTTTTATCAACCGAGTGTGGCCAATTTAGGTATTTATGATTTGTAAATATTTGTTTCAACCAGTCGGTGATAAATTCATTTGTACGTGTATCTACATACATGCATACATATGTACAGCACCTAAGTTTAGTTAAGATAAGTTCATATCTTAATTACTCTTGTCACTCAGACATTTGGATAAATAAAATTTTTGATTGCAAATTGTGGAAAAATAATGTTACTCTATTATAAATATAAAATGTTTCAGGAAGCTATTGTTTGAACTAACTCTTCAGTGGCGCGCATATTTCAATATGGGAATGTTCATCTGCTTTGAATAACAGTAAACGGCCGAAGATCCTTTAGTTCAGGGCAGTTAATGAAATACTATGTATAATCGTCGAAACAGACTTGGAGATGCTCACCAAAATTTCTTAACTACCTGCAGACAATATTTTATTCGTAAGTTGTAGAAGAACCCTGTTTTAAAGGCGATACCTAAATTGGTATCTCTATTAAAATTTTTGTCGACGACTTCAACAAACAGCAGGGCAAGGCAATATGGAAAATCCATTACAAACTTAAGAGCCTCTTTACTATTTCAGCGTCCCCAAAACGCATAAAAATAAAATAAATCAAAAAATTTAAATTGAAAAAAAAAAAATTTTGCAACTTTTTTTCTTAGTAATTTTTTTTGCTTCTCGAAGCATTGATCCATCCTTTGCAAGGCCCACTAATCAGCAGTGGTGCTGCTGAGTTGGGCGAATATTACAAAAAACTGCTGCTCAATCGCTTGTTTTGTATGCAAAAATGTTTCACATGCGAATAGATTTTAACAATTTAGAATTTTCGTGAGAATAAATTTAAAATATTTGACATTTTCGAGACTAAATAATTTGAAAAAAAATAAAATAAAAAAACCAAATAAACTGCTCTACTGATACTAGCTGTTTAATGCGGTTTGTTTGGTGCTTATTATTGTAATAGTCAGCACAATTAGTTATTTGACAATCGCTTAGCTGCCACATAAAAGTACCAACATTTTTTATAAATGTTCGCCTAAAAAGCTACTACAATTTATTAACGCTATTGATGTTGCACCATATACAAGTATGTATTTACATCGATACCATACATGTCTGCTTAGCACACAAATTCTGTTAACTGATTTTAAGAAGAAAATTTTTATACCCGAGCGCACTTGTGTTTAGCTTTATTCACATAACGGTTGTTTGTAATATAGATATAGACAGATGTATATNGCACCATATACAAGTATGTATTTACATCGATACCATACATGTCTGCTTAGCACACAAATTCTGTTAACTGATTTTAAGAAGAAAATTTTTATACTCGAGCGCACTTGTGTTTAGCTTTATTCACATAACGGTTGTTTGTAATATAGATATAGACCGATGTATATATAAATGATCAGAATGAAAAGAGAAATCGATTAAGCGGTGGCTGTCCGTCCGTCCGTCCGTCTGTGCACACGATAACTCGAGTAAAAATAACTCCAAAAATTTATAATATTCTTATGTTTCGTCTAAAACTTATTGTAAATATCAATTTTAAGTGAACAATCTTAAGTTGTTATTAAAATATCGCAGTTTTCGTATTGATGAAAACTACCGTTATATGGGAGGTTTGCGGGTTTATNTGTCCGTCCGTCCGTCCGTCTGTGCACACGATAACTCGAGTAAAAATAACTCCAAAAATTTATAATATTCTTATTTTTCGCCTTAAACTTATTGTAAATATCAATTTTGAGTGAACAATCTTAAGTTGTTATTAAAATATCGCAGTTTTCGTATTGCTGAAAACTACCGTTATATGGGAGGTTGGCGAGTTTATTGTCCGATTTTGCCCATTTTCAATACCATCCGTCCAAAGCCCGAAAGAAGTACACAGGCGGACGGACGGACACCGCTTTTCATTCTGATCGTTAATGTATGCATTTGTCTATATCTATCTCCATTCGTTTTGCCTGTTACAAACAATCAAGTGCGGTCGGGTATAAAAAACGCAAGTTTGTTGCAAAAGTCTTTTGTTTTACCAAACTTGAATAAAGACATCCACAACAGACACAAACGCATATAATAATAATATTTTTGGCGCTTACAATTTTGCTAAGTGTTTGGCCGATCTGCTCCTCAAATTTGGAGAGACTTACATTTTCACGCCGGACGGTGTACAATTTTGCGGGTTTCAATGGACAAAATCGTAAGTTTCTCGGTAGGAGTAAGATAAAAATATGGAAAAACACACAAGGGCAAAATAGTGCCAGTATATAATCATTATATAAAAGACCCAATAAATTTGGTTGAAAAATTAGCCTTTGAAAAAAATTAATACTTTGCTGGCTAGCTCCAACAAAAGAGTATTGGTTTTTGGTTTTGTGGACATTTCTTCGAGATTTTCCACAGAGAAACTCAAATGTATTGTCAAAAGGTGATTAAGAAATCTTTTAGATGTAAGTTTTTCAAATTGCAAAGTTGCAGGTAAATTTTATATTTTGTGATATTTTTTTTCCGAGTAAGCAGTTTTGTAGCCCATTAAATTCTAGTATGATAAAGTGGAAGTCCGAAGTTTCTAAAAAGTTGCGTTGATTTTTGGGAAGTTTTTTAAACGCATTTCCTTCCATACAAACATATTCAACATTTTTTTTTTGTATGGAAAGAGTGCGTAATACAGTCAGAAAATTTTACAAATTGAACGCGATTTTTTATCAGGATTGACAGATTTCGTTTTTGTATTTCTCAAAAATAATGTAACGCGAACATATTTTTTGCAGAATTTTTTCGTTGTGGCATTTTAGACAGCAAACTGTCTGAAACTACTGAAAAAAAAAATGAAAAAAAACGTGTTCAGTAATAATTGATGATTTCTTACGGTAAGTTAAATTAAGTTAAGTCTAGACTAACTTAGCTTTTATGCATACTTTGCACTGCACTGCATAGCATATCACTTTAACGTAGAAATCAAACAACAACAGACTTCTAAATACATATGTAATGCTGTGCGTTAGGTAACCGCTTATGCGCAAAGCTCATTTAACACATTCCTTTTGTGATAACTCTCATGCAATGTATAACTGAGCCATAACATATGTATGTACATCTGCCGATCTTATCAGTGTGTTGTGTGTAAAAATCAATCATTAGGGGTATTAACGATCCGGTGCATACTGTTTAGCATGGTGCATAGATAGCATAAATAGCACGATTGGCGAATTTTGTTGTTGTTTGAATACATAAGGCAACGACAATCACGCTATTTATGCTATCTATGCACCATGCTAGATAGTATGCACCGAATTGTGAATACACCTATTGCCTTTGCTTTGAGAGCAGGGCTTATACACCCAAATATATTTTTCTGCATCTACATGGTATGTACATGTGTACACATGTATAAACATACTTGTGT